GCGTTATGCGCAGATCGAAAATGAGCTGCTCACTGTCTTCTAGGGATTGGAGCGATTCAACGACTACACTTTTGGAAGGAAGACTGCAGTGGATACTGACCATAAACCGTTGGTGTCAAGAGCAAGTAAACCGTCACACAGTGTTCCTCGATGTCTTCAATGGATGCTTATCCGGCTCCAAAAAGACGACATGGATCAGATGTACACTCTGGGGACGCAAATATTCATCGCGGACGCTCTGTCGAGAGCACATCTTTCGATAGTCGAACACCAACAGGAAGCACTGGAGGCAGTAAATCTGGCACAAATCTGGCTGTTACGGAAGATCGCCTGAAAGAGAATGCGTCATAAGGTAGAAGACAGGACGTGCGTGGTGTTGCGTGTGATGATTTTAAGTGGCCAGGCAGATAAAAAAGCTAAACTTAAGATGGTATTAACACTGTTCTTCAGCTTTCGCGATAAATTGTCGGTATATGACTGTTTTTTGTTCAAAGGAAATGCATTTTGATCCCGTTGCCGCTTTCCATAGAAATGCTAGAACACGCTCATCAAGTCCATTTGGATGTCAACTACAGTATTAGTGGAGCACGCGAACTGATGTTTTGGCCCGGGATGACAAGTCGAATCCGAGACCACGTATCTAGCTCTTAAGTCTGTCGATCCCACGACGCTCCCCCAAGCCAGGAAACCGATGATGCTGCGTGAGATTCCAGATCGACCATGGCAGAAAGTAGCGGTGGACTTGTTTTATGACAACGGGAGACTATTTAATCACTATAGACTATTACAGTGCCTATTTTGAAATCGATTCACTCACCACTACCACCATGGAAGCAGTCATTAACAAGCTTAGATGTCAGTTTGCCAGACACGAAATATCGGAGGAAGTGATCTCCGACAATGGTCCGAATCTACTAGTGCTGCCTTCCTCCTCTTTTCGAACAAGTGGGAATTTTCGCATCGAAAAACGAGCCTGTATCACAGCAACTTTAACGGAAAAGCAGTGACAACGGTCAAACAAGCCAAGATGCTGTTGTTGAAAGCCAGAGCCACTCATTAGGATCCGTATCTAATGTTGTTGGAGATCCGCTATACTCCGTTACCGAACATCCGTCTCAGTCCAGTGCAAAGTTTGTACAGCAGAAGCACAAGAAGCCTAATGCCTGCGTCTGCTGAACTCTAACAGCCCGTCTCGCCATCGCATGAGGAACTGCAAAGGTGCTTAAGGAAACGGATGACAGATCAGTAACGGTATTACGACCGCGGAGCCCGGGCGCTACCGGAGCTCTCAGTAAATGGTGGAGAGCGGAGCCAGATCTAAGCGAACGATGGAAGAAAGGTGTGCTGACCGCAAAGTTTGGAGAAATACCTTATGAAGTCAATACCGGAGATAAGGTAATCAGAAGGAACGGAATGCAGCTAAGGCGACACCTGGAACGAGAATGTAAACCTGCAGTAAAGCACTTGACGCTTTACGGAGAGGTCACAACGGCAGAGGCAGCAAAGACCACGCGGAGCGGAAGAATGTGCGGGGTCGTCTGTGACGTCGATGCAGCTGATTTTGCAAAAGGAACGTATGTGATGGGATGGTGCAAGCAAGCTGCTAGCCTGCCGCAACCGAACAGAACAGTTGATCTGACGCCTGCAACTATTTCGTCTACGCGCTGATTGGTTCACCGGAGTGGGTTTGTTTAACTGCTTCAAAGGAAGAATCTCATGAGTGCAGCAGCGTCGTTAGTTATGGAAATGGCTTAGTTATTTTTTCGAGCTGCCCACTTGCCTGTCAGGCTGTCACTTTCACTGAGTTCGCTTTGTCGAATATCTCCTTTGTCCGTGAAGGACCGAGTTCTGCGACACAGGGTAGCACAACTTCTATTCACATAGAATGAACTAGAGTGTACTAATTACCATCTTCTTACACTTCTTCCTGTGCTTATCAAGTTCATGAAATCAGTTATCGTAGGCGCACTGATGGGTTAGGCAGAAAGCAACGGTATCACAACACACCGGAGCAGCACGGGTTTCATTCAACGTCGGTTATGCACCAAAATGTGCTGATTGCGCGCGACATCTGAATTGAACGCGTTGGCGAGTATACAAGAACGGATGTCATCTAGTTGGATCTTTCAAAAGTCTTCGATCGCCCATATTATGGTGTCCTGGTTCACAAGCTTTAGAAATAAGTTATTGAAGTTCCATTATTGGGCAATTCGCCGTTTACATTTCAATTGGCAACTGGACAACAGAATCTCAACATTTTTACCCGATCCAATTCGTGTGGGGTGATGGATACCGCAAGGTTCGGTACACGAGTCTAGCTTGTTATTAGTTTTCTTTTGGATCTAGCGACAGTTTTAACCACAAATGTTCTACTCTTCACGGATGAAGTTAAAATTAATCCGACGATTAGGAGATTGGACAATTAAAAAACCCTCTAGCGTGCCCTCGATGAGGCCCAGCATGGGTTGGTGAAGTGTGCGTTATCATTCAATGAAGACAACTGCAGGTGTTCAAATCGGCTATCGGAAGACTCATATTTACATGCTTGGGGTGCACGATATGCAGACCACCGCTTAGGAGCGTGACATCGATGTGCTTGAACAGAGCAACCTCGGTTGTTCTAAACAGCTTAAGTCCGCTACAAAAATAAGTGACTAGCATGTCGGTCATTCGTTGATGGCACTCAGGCCTTAGGAATCATCCACCCTCTCTATGATGCATCATGCCTACGTGCGTCCACTTGTCAAATACCTTTTCCACGCTTGGAAACCGCGGCTAGAGCGTGGCCGTAGCTTTTAGAGTCTCACAACTTCGGGCAAACGAATTTGTCAAGGTTTTGTGCCACCTTCCGTACAAAGAACGGCTGAAGAAGCTCTGAGTTTTCAGTGGATACCTCATAATGGTATACCAAATACTGAAAGATCCCAGTCACCGATGTCACCACCTATTAAAACCCATCCCGGACACCAATCAGGGAGGCAATATTTTGAAAGTCAACCATTAAGTCGCCTGGATTGTCAATGAACTTAATTCTCCCTCTGAGTCTGCCAACCCTGAAACGACTTTCTGAAAACAGTTATTCGTGCGCCATCTTAGCTCTTTTCGACAAACGCTTAGATATTGCATTCAACTACCTATACTTTGTTATTTCTATATATACGATTGAAGTACTCCGTCTCGCTAGCTTCTCGTAAGTATAACTCATAGAGATGCACATAAATCAGTACAAGCGCTGGAGCAATCCGATTGTTCTTCATACTAAGCATTAATTTGTTACTCTGTTTCGTATGGTTCTATCTCGATCCTACAACCTTGCTTCTAACTTGGCTTGCGCTATCGCTTCTCCGATGCATAATTTTGTCTGCATGTCTTTGCAATTCTTTCCAGTAACCACATACGGGACATGCTAAGGCTACGCATTTTACCCGTCATAAAACACAGTTCCACTGTTCCCTCGTTCTACCACCCAGAATACATAGCTATTTGATTTAGAATTCCATGCACCCCAATGACGAATCTGTTAAGTAGTTTCTGATGCCCGTCGTTATGTCCATGTTAGATTACCGTTTAGTTTTAATATTCATGTCGGCACTGTCGTCGAAATTCGGGTAGCAGTTTTCATCTACGTGTTTGCACGATCAACCTTGTAACGAACTTCTTTAAAACGATGGTTAGAGGGATTTTAACTTTATGTGGACACCGCTTGACCAACTGATATGCTTTAATTGTACTGTTCTCCTGTTTGACAACTACTGTGCCAAAATGGGTTATATAGTTCAAACCTTATTCCACCGTCAAAATAGGGACAGCAGCCAATGCTTACTCAGTAAGGAAAGCCATAGCATAGCCAGTTAGTTGACAGTCGTGTCAATCCTCAACACTTGCACTTATGTCACCGAACTTGTTATTCTGACTTGTATGAGGTGCACCAAATCTGAAATCGAAAAGCACGTTTCTACGCTGTGAACCCCATATTTTGCCTCTAAGCAACAGTATACTAATGTATTCATTAGACACACATGAAGCACGGCATGTAGATAAGAGCAGCAGCCTAATACGAATTAAGAAATGAACATTAAACCATCGTGCAATTGCTAACTCGGATGTTTGTCTCCGTTTGTCGTCAGTATCTGAAGCCGTTGCAAAGAGAACACCATTGATACCTCATTGTCTGCAAACTCTTGTACTTGCCTTATATGAATTCTCACAAACAATATCAGCTTTTCACCTAAAAAGTAACCCAAAAGGTTATTAAAAAAGGTTCTCGGTCTTTCAGTTAAGTACGTTAGTTCAGTGTGCATAGATACATCTGAATAATTTTTATTATATTGGCATTAGTTAGGTTTTGGTATCCGAGTAAAAAGAAAAACTAGTCTGTCTTATTAAAGAGTATCTTCACAGTAGTTAGGACATTTCAGTGGTTCTTGGCGCGCTGCTATAGCACCAGTGAAATGTCAGTAATGATTGACAGTTTTTGAGTGTGCACATATCTTTGACTCCATTGGCTGACACATGAGCAGTTTCCCGAAAGCTTACCAAACCGTTGATACATGCGAGGTCGAATTTCCTGCAAAGATGTGCTCTGTTTCATGTTATATAGCAGCTAAGGTATCGCCAGCGTATTAAGTTACCGGTACACCCGTCTGTTACTTTCAACCTTCCTGGACGGGGGTGTCTAGCGTCTTCATGAAATATGCTCAATTGATTTGATTTGTTTTCCGTTTGATCTAGAAGTCACATTCCCTTGACAATTACAAACGTTCATCCTGGTATACGCCTAAGAATAGCAACACGAACTAGTCCTGAAAGAAGAATGTAGGGATGGCGTGTTTCCTTTTTCCCAGTTGATGATATTACTGGTAAGAGACGGTGCGAAAAGCGCGTATTTAACACCTTCCGTACCCACTCAATGCGTTACCTAGATTTCCAGATGGAACCGACTGCATCGCACAATGTCGCATGATACATGACGGAGGGGGCGTGCGACACTTGGCCTGAGGCTTGATTGGTTGCTTAAATTAGCATTGTTTTACGCACGTGACTTTAATCCGTGGAACGATCAATAGTCCACGGTGCGGATGTGTGGAAACCTAACGACAGGGTACTGCCCGCGCTCCAGCAGTTGCCTACCTGTCTGGCCACTTCTGCAGTGTACAGTTAAGTCAGCGAAAAACGGCGCGGAAGCGAACGCAGCGGGTATAAGCGTGCAATCGACTGTTTCGCTTGCCATTGCCTGCTTCACTGCTCGGACGCATGCAGGAGAGAGGCTGGTGCCGAGCCTTGTGAAAATCGTTTGCCTATAAACTCGGCACTACCCAACAAATGATCCAGTTGTCATGGAAACCTTTCCTCACTACCTTGTTAGCAAAAACAGTGCTGGACTACTGTTGATGGATGCCTCATGAGTGTGAAATCTCCCGAATATGTGTGTTTATTAGGATATGGACCTTACAACAACCTATCGTGCCCAAATGAATCCATCGCCGAAGGCTGTGTCAGGTTCCTTGGAGAATGACGCACCACTAACTAAATTTCATTCACTGGATTCTCCTACACCAGCTGTCAAGAAAGCTTCTTTTGGAGCCTGGAGCAAGCATTTGTACTTTAACAGCTTTACCGAAGGCTCCGGTTTGGGACATGGACCGCAAGGTTTGAGTGGATCCATTCTTGATGGCGGTATCCCTCAAAGGAGACTTCCCACAGAACCTTCCGCGAAGCCCTTGCACCAGCCGCATGAAAAATCATTTAATCATGATTCCGACACCTCACACACGCCGATGCCAGTCACTGAATGTGGGGCGATACCTGATGCGTCATCAACAATTAGTTCATTTGAGGTACGTGAAAGGTTAAAGTATTGTGTGTTAAATAAAAGGAAAAACCGTGAGAAAGAATCACCCCAAGAAAATGAGAAAGCAGCAGAAACTCCAAAGCAGTTCAGTAAAACGAACGATGAAAAAGAAGAAATAAGGCGCTCTTCCACGGGATGCAAAACCCAAATACCGAACCTCTTATTGTCTAGTGTGTCACTTGACTCCTCACCCCAGGGCAAAGCGGGCTATTTGCGATCGATTAACACAAATTTTCGGCTAGATGACTTGACTGCAGTGGTATCTAACGATGCGCTAGTGAACTCAATTACTGTACCCATGGGAAATCTTTCTACAGAGATTACGTCTTCGAATATTAATTACAGCAGCTTGCAGACGCATTATCTCGGTTCGTTCAGTACCGAACAGCCGAAAGCGCGTGGTAAGCAACGAGATGCCTATAGCGAAGGGAGAGCTGAAGGAGATCTTCTACGGAAGACAATGTCCGAGCCAAGTCTTAAACTCAGAGGAACCAGTGGGCACCGACACAGAGGACGTGGCGAACGCCGCCATGGAGCTGCTTCTGCCACAGCGGTTGCTGCGGTTGTAGCCGCGTCAGTTGGGATGAATGCATTTTCTGTCACGACGGAGGACTTCTACCAGAAATTTGCGACGAGTCTGACAGGAAAGCAACACAAGGCAGTTGAAAGTGATGACAATCCTGTCATTGTGGATTCAATCCCAATGGATACGTCCGACAGCCACACTGCAACCTCAGGAACGGAACAAGACTCGTTACTTGGGAACCATGTAGAACCCCTATCCCTATCAACCACTTGTAGAGAGAGCCATATCACAGACACATGTAAATTCTCGGAAGGCAAATCTGATTCTGTTGTCCATTCGCTTCAAGGGAATGCAGCTGTTAACGGAAGCTTAGGTGTAACACCTGTACCTTCCGATTTCCACAGTAGTCCTCGAGATTACCGGGCAAGCCTGCCTGATTTAACCAACTCCTTTCCACTTCTTCACTCGGCAGGAATGCCAACTTTAACAGGTTATTTGGCAAGCAGCGGAGCAGGCGACGAATTGATGAATGTTGAGCAAACTAACGAGGATAGGACTCGTCCCGCTTCTTCAGTTCTCCGAAGCGAAAGATTCAGATTGTTTGGCACTCCAGGTCATGTGCGACTTACACATCACATACTGCCCCGACGGCATCATTCTCTTGGTATGATCAGCCGCACCCGGTCGGCGCCTCTAGGATTAGCCGGTAATTCCGGGAATATAAGGTATTTCTCTAGCAGTGTCATCGCTCCCATTACCAGCGCATCTTCTGCCACATCGGCAGCCAATGTTTTAGCCATGGAGGCGGCTTCAAAGTGTCGTTCCAACCAAACCTCGCTCACACAGTCCTGTGAAAAGTCTCCTCCAGTTGCTGTGACTTTTGATTCTGCACCTTCATCATTATGCACGGAGGAGCTACAAAGGAATACAGTAGTCTCGCAGTTAAGGAAGAAGATACTGGAAAGGTGAGTACTCCGAATTGTGCTAACTGTTTTTGGGAGAGCTTCACTTCCATTTGAGTTAGTTGTAGCTCTGTTGACTTACCACTGGTTTCTGGAATTTGTTTGCAATGGTTTACTCATTAGTGGAGGGGATCTCATTGGCACGCTGGTGATATTCGCTGTTTGCGGTGAATCTCCCTCAACCTAGGTCTTAATTTCGGTGAACGGGTTAATCCACGAACTGCAGCTAAAACAGCAGTACTCCCAATAGTTACAATGGAATGGATGCTTTGTAACGAAGTCACCAGTTGTACAAGCAGTAAGCCGATCGTGAACCTTGAATGTCAGTGTGGACTGGTCAAGTACAGGAGTACTACTGGTGTAGAGCGTTAAGTTTTATATTGTTACAAAACCGCGAATCTTCCCTAAATAAAGCATGCCTGGTGTCAGTTTATAATTGTGTCAGTTTTTTTAATATCGAGACTTGCATGAAACCGAGCAGAAAGCCTTCAGTTCAGGTACGCTTGAAAACAACCGCCTAGTATATTCACTGGGCGAAGTTACGTCTTTGACATAAAAGTTTCATCAGATTAAGCGGACCAGCACAATATAATGTGCCGTTGTATGGCAATCAGGACCAAACTTCTTAACCAAATAGTATCTAACAGAGAATAAATACGAGTATAGTTCAACATTCATCACATGTGGTATGGGCTTGTACGTTGACCTGATCAACTTTCGTGATGAAACGGTAACGAATACTCAAAATCGATGAATTGCAATGGGTTTCGTCCACTTAATGCACTAAACTTGTGCAACACCAATCTGTCTAGACATGTATATATTCATGATTTTTCGTGAAATATTTTTGAAAACATTGAGCCTGGGTTAACATCTAGGACGAACAACTTTGCACGTGAACTCTAAACTAAAGGAGAACACCAGCTAGCTTACTTCAAGCCACAGGCCTAACGGCGAATGAACAGGAGTATGTACAATTTAAGCGTAACGCAATTACCAGTGAATAATTTGTTGGCTTACACAGGTACAGAGTCATTTGATTTAACGCAGAACGGTCAAGTTTTAGATGAACAAGTGCACGTTTGCTGGGCTCAAGTAATTGTCAATGAATATCGTCAGTGAACTGTAACACACTGACTAGCCATTAGCAAGACTGACGCGACACTTCATTTACTTTTTTCCAGGTGAAATAATCTCTAGAATATGTTTACGGCCAGCAGTACATCCCTCGTTCTATCAGACGGAAGGTGTTTTTGTTTGCGTATCTCCACGGTCTGGTGCGGCCAGTTTAGATCAGAAAGACCCCAAGTAGGCACCTACCAAAATTCTTTATTAGTGAAGAAGCACATAAGGGAAGGAAATGCAAGGGGTGAAGGAATTTCTTGATTGTGATGCCCCGTTTAGTGTTTCCGTTTTCGTACCTTCGTAACGGTCGTGTATTTTCTGAGCTTTCGACTCGCGAATATATGGATTGGTATTTCCAATCTTTTCTAAAGTAATAACTTTTCAATCGCTTCTCGGGATATATCATCATATCGGAAACAGACAAGAAAATTGTGTTTTAAACATGGCGACTGAATTAGTAAATGTAGCGGATGTTGAGGCTAACAGGGAAAATCATTGCATTTAAATCATAGATGTCCGAGACGTAAAGTCGTTTGTGAACCCAACATCATGCTATTTCTAAACGGTTCGCACACCTAGCTAGAGAAGGCCCACAGTGTAGGCAAAGCGCTTGTGGGGCAGCAGGTTAACCTGACAACCGGACATCTTAGTGATACTCTATTCCTCACCGGTTGACTGAGCTTGGATGAACAGACTACTGTGACAGAGGTTGCTTCTGATAGTCTAATAATCAGGTCCAAACTAAGCAAGTGAAAGGGCGCAGATCTAAGGAAAGTGTTCCAGTATCAATGGTCTAAACACACTGTAACAAAAGAAAATTATTTTCTGTAACAGAAATGCCACTATCCCTGCCTGATAGAATAAACTCCAGTAGTCGTAAAATAGTATTCCGATGTTACTAATGAATAGGAGGATTTTTTAATTGTCCCAGCTGCTCACAGGCTACATAGCACAGCCTAGTCCGGGAAAGCTCCAGACGCCTTTCACCTTATTGGGGCTCGTCAGTGGTGCGCATTCCCTCGGTCCCCTACTGGGGGTCAATGTTACCTAGCACGTCAGGTTACATTGTTATAAGCAAATGATTAGCTTCAGTAACGTCAAGGCTACGTCATACGAGTTATTTGCAAATGTGCTGAATCACAACATATATAGAACGCATCTAGGTGACAAGTAGGTTTAATGCGTCACTGCAACACTCGCTGCTAACTACTGACTGCAGCATGGCATTAGAAAATGATGACTTCGCCGAGATTGTCGATTTACATATCAAATGGACCCAAGTGCGACCATATTTTACTTTTCTCACGCCTTATATCAACGAGCATTGCACCCCAGTGTATTTCTGAACGTTTACGCTCTTTTTTAAATTTTTCACTGATGTTATTTATCAAAGTATTCATTTCGGAAAACGTTTGGTAGATGACCCACATATACTTTGATTTCATCGTATTCACCCCAACAATCCTACGGGACGTGTCAAGCACTTGCCTTTATCCCGTGATAAATCATTGTTCATTGTATGATCCAGTGCCCTCACGCTGCAGAAATCAGCAAAAGTCACTAATCATAGAAGGCGTATCAAGTCGTCAGGAAATTGCTTTATACATGGGTGAATATTCAGCTACAAAAGCAGGTTTTTTGCAACATAATGATTCCAAGCTGCGAAAACTCTCTTAAGAAAACGATGTTCGATAGTTCATTTAATTTCCACATGAGCGAGCGGATGTTGGTGCTAAGCAATACTGATACGCACAGACCTCTCAGTTTTTTCCTTCGAAGAGCAACTCTCCATTCAGAACGATGTTTTCTAACAGAATTGTTACACTTCTTATGAATTCGGTTCAGTTGGTTTCTGCTAACACAACCGTTCGAAAATGCACAAGTTAAGAGCATAGAAAACGCAGCGATTTTGAAATATCGCTTGGTTAGAATTGCATTGCGGTACGAGTGATAAATTATAACAAGAACCGATGGAGCAAAATTTAAGATGTGAGAACGAGTGTTCATAAACTCCGAAGAGAGGAGTTGTAGAGCACGACCAAATTTGAAGGCTCCGCCAGGGATGGAACCGATTGAGAACTTGTCACTGTAGGGCTGATCCATAACTGCAATGTCTTGGTGAAAGCGCTGACCATGCTCATCGCCAACAGATTCCAAGTTCTCACGGAAAAGGTCAAGGTAATTATGCAAAATGTGCAACGAGTGACATTCGAGCACCAACAACCCGATAGTCCACAATGATCTTTATGTGATGCCTTTGTTATTCTCTGCCTTTGTTCTATCCAAAAACCCTGCACACATTGCCTTGAATGTTTGCCACGCTTCTAACTTCAATGAAGTCAACTGGCATTCAAAAGACCTGCCTGCCATTATCCGGCGAACATCAGGCCCAATAGGTATCACTTCTTTGAGCTTCGTATTACTGACCTTTGGAAACACTTGTTTCAGGTACTGGAAAGCAAAACCATCTCGCTTGAGGGCTTTGACGGTTTTCAATCGAACCAAGCTTGATTTGGAGGGGTAGTAGATAGATATAATCAGGTTGCACAAGAGGTGTATGCTTTACCCTCATTTTCCCTGCAGCAAACTCTGTCCTCTCTGGCCACTTTTCCGTTGTTTAGTACTGCTCTGTTGGTATACTATCCTTATGCTGTACTTCTGGGGAGCATTGGGCCCCTGTTTGACAAAGGAACAAACAAAAGGCGTATGAACTGAGCAATCAGTCACCGGCTCCCAATGGGCGCGATTCCCTGAATTCGCTCCGCTGCCTTGCGGGCAGGCTATTCAGCCAAAGGCTCGGGGTGGTGTCCCCTAAGTCAACACCCTACTTCGGCTTGGGCAACCGGGTAGTATCTCGCCCTCTGAGGGAACCATGGACATTGTTGTGTTGTGTTTTATTTTACTGTTTCTGTACCTTCGTTTGAATCCCATGGTTTCTGATGGCATTATGTCTGTTAACAGACTTTTGCAAATATATATATATATACTATCCCATAAGCAAAAGAAACAGCAGTAATTTGTGAAGCCTTCTTGCATACCCATTAGGAGTCCAATGACTTTGGGGTCAGCACAGATGTTACGACAGTACTTATCGTAGTTCAGTGTAGCGAGTATCTGTTGCATACTTTCCTAAGTCTCACTCAAATGGGTGGCATGCAACAAAGTCAAAGTGAAAGTAGGCTTTATGCACCCGGGTAGGTGCATTTTCAGCACGTTACCCTATCACTGCGGATGGTGAAGTGTATGAAATAGATGTTACAGAAAAAATACAACGCGTAAGATTGTCTACACTTTTCACTCGAGCAGATAGTTTCGTATCATAATGATAGTTTTGGTTGGGTCCACAAGCAAGTGGAACAGGTACGGTAGCACAGAATTGCTGTAAGATGCCGTACATGAAAATGAAATCTGAAATTTGGAACGGGTAAAGGAAATAGGTAAAGTTTTTGGTAGGTCACGATGTAGTGGATGAAGAGGGTCGTTTAGAATTTTGGAGGAAATATTGGTACAAGCGTCTAGGTGGTTGTTAACCATAACACCCACAAGAACTCCCTAGACAATCCGCTGCATTTGAAAATAAGCTTTACGGACCGTAAAATCAATATAACCCAGGGAAGATTACAGGGGAACAGTAGAGCCGATGTGGCATTATATATGTAGTCACAAATTTAAGAATCAAATCACGGAGAATTGATAGTAGTTTAAGTCGAAGAGCATAAAAGGACAACCGTGTAACCTTAGAAAAGGTTTCGGTACCGTGAATAGACCAAGATAAGTTTCGGGATAAAAAGACTCCCCAAAATTTAATATTTGTCTATCTGGGTATGAACTAATCACTCACTGCCAATACAGATGTGGCTTCAAAAACAACTCGTAAC